TTATTTAAGAATAAAATTTATAACGGAATTATTATTATTATCGATTATCTATCTATTATTTAAAATAAAAAAAAAAAAATAACGGAATTATTATTTTTTAAGAATATAAACGGAATATTATTTTTAGGTATAAAACGGAATAAGAATAAACGGAATTATTATTTTTTAAGAATAAAACGTCACCATACATATAGACAAGTGATCCGAAACATTTAAAGTGTCACCATACATATAAACACGTGATCCTAAAGATTTTAAATAGAATGATTCGCAGATCTCATGTACAGTCACCTGATCGTTTTAATTAATTAATAATCAAATATATGGGTAATCTAAACGTTAGCATCAGGTGATCTGAAAGATTTTAAATAATAGATTCTAATGCTAATAATAAGAAATTAAAAAGTAAGTATCTTTATCTTTTATATAATATTAGAGAAAAAGATATCTTTTAAAAAATTGGGATCAATACTAATTTTATTTTATTATTAGAAGATAATAATGCTACTGTTAATAACGACACTAATAATTCTAATAACAATAATAATAATTCCAATAATAATGATGATAATTTTGACAATAATAATAATAATAATAATAATAATCAAAATGCTAACTGTAAGTATTTTTTATGTTATAGTTTATTTTGAAAATTTTAAAATTGATGCTAATTTTATTTTATTATAGGTTGTTGTGTCTCTTGATATTTTACAATCTTGAAATAATTTTTTTATAAATTTATAAATTTCGTTATTTTAAATTTAAATAAATAAATGAATATAAATACAAATTTAAAATGATTACTTTTTATTTTATTTTTTTTTTGTAATGTAAATTAAAGATTTTAAAAGATAAAAATCTTACATATTTTGAAATATAAATTAACATATTTGAACAAAAAAAAAATATCTTTAAAATGCAGAATATTTTTAAATTGTTTCAATGTTTAAAATTTGCAAAATTATGTAATTTTTAAGAAAACTTTGTCTTTTTCAAACCTTTATAACAAATAACCTTACAAATACAGAATCTGAAAATTTAAAAGTACTCGTTCACCCCTTAATATATATATCAAAGAGAATTTCTATGTGTATATACTCAGCCTCATATGATTATATGTCATTTATTCAGATTGTAAAAAACCTTATGATAAAATTACATGTCCATACTCATTTTGAATTCTCATTTTAATAATATCATACAAACAATATCTTGTGTATTAACATGTATTAATGTATAAAATTAGATATACAATATAACGAATACATGATAGTCATATTAGAATTACTTAATTGACTCACAAAATGAAAAAAAATCCAAGACCAATTTATAACCCAAGACTTTAACTACTCTTTAATCTATATTGAACAGGTCTTTACATAATGCCTATATTGCTTGCAATTCCCACATTTCCATTCATTAATATTAGCTTTCATGCTTTCAGTATTATTATTAAAACATTTGTATGATCTTTAAGACTTGTTTTTCTTTACAGTATTTTTTCAATACTTTCAGTTTATGTCTGTTAACAGCAGGATTAATAGCTAAGTGGTGATCTGTTTCTTGACTTTCATTCTGAGTATCATAAATTAATTTTCATTCTGACTATCATAAATTAACATTTTAAATTTGTTCAATAATTCTTGTTCCAAATTAACCTTAATAACATGGTCGATTAGTTTTCTTAATAGTCCAAATAATTCTGCATATATTGCTTTATTTGATTTTATTAATCGTTGAGAACTATATGAATTGGTCTGAATTAAAAAAAATAGTCAAGTTTAGTACTTCTCTTGAATACTATACTGCCTTACACCATATACTGGAATAGAAAGATATTGCTGCAAAAGATTATTGGATTCAATATCAGAATTCAGATATCATCGATTTGGAATTATACTTATATGGAATGTGGCATGTTGAGAGTAAGTACTCACACAGAAGAATTGTTGACATATTAATCCTTTACTAACCAAGAGAAACAAGTGCATAAATGTGTACCTTCATCAAGTAATATTATATAATGTCCTATTCCTCTGGCTCCAGTGGCACGTATATTTCATACTTCTAGAATTGCTTCTTGAGATATAGTTCTAGCCAATGAACTAAAAATTATTTGTTGTATCTCCTGTTCCTGTTCTCTGGCTTCAATATTTGTTTCTTAATTATTAATCTCCATTTTAGGAAAAATCAAAATATATTAGTTTTCATTCTGAACTCTTAATTAACGGCTATGATGATCAGATCATCACAGGTGTTTAAAATTTCTTATTAAGATTATCTATTTGTCTGAAGAGTCTTTTATTTAGCATTGGCATGCCAATCACAGATAGAGTATTTCGTTTGGTTTCATACCTTTCAAGGTGTCCTTCATTTTTAACATAATCTTAAATACTATTTACCAAATTGGATAATGATGTAGAACAGTCTACTATGTCATGTATATCCCTATCGATCGATTCAACCCTTTGCATAAAATGATTATATATACAAGGTATTGCCCATGATTCTATAGCAATATAAAGTATTTCAGGCAAGTATTTTACTGCTACAAGAAATTGATTAATCAATTGACTCCATCAACATTCAAAAAGTTTTTGCAAGAGAATTTAAGCATATATAAAATTTACTATAAAATTCTTCAAACTGACTGCCATATTTTCCTTTGAGCTTTTTTTTGAAGATTCAAGGATGCATGATAAATATTGAACATTAGGAAAAGTATCTGTCGTCGATCGAATAATAACAGGATCCAAATCAGTAATACAACGCCAGGCAAAATATCCGTTTCAATAAATATATTCTCAAAAATCTATCAATAAGTATCCAATATTTCATTTTCAATAATAGTACTTGCAATAATTCTAGTTCCATAATTACTATCAGTTACAGCTATAATACAAAACATCATCTGAAATCGATTTGTATTATAAATTGCATCAACTATTGTATTTATTATATATTTCCCTTTGCTTAGGAGACTTCAAAAAAGAGTGTCCTATCTTCTTGGAACTAGTTCTAATTGTGGCTTTACAATTCAAAGTGATTCTAAATCTTTCCAACTTATAATTGTTGTAACTTCTGAAAAGCATCAGTATCTCATGAATTATTCTTCTTACGAAATTGATAAACCGTCTATATAAATCTTGTTTATAAATTGGTTGGCCTAGGTAGTCATGCTTAGTAGTGAATAAATAAATCCTTAGTTAATTTGCCCTTAAACGACATACTTCTCTATATCAGCTAGCATTTCATTTGATAACTTCTGGAATCATGGAGCTATTTCACATATCATTGGTATAAGTAGATAATTATTGTCATTAATAAACGAATTGATTTTTACAATACCACTAGTTTTTGGGCAAGTGACTTTGAGTTTTCAGGAATATTGTATTGTTAAGAGTAAAAATTACACCTCTTGATCCGATTTGATGTAACTTGTGAAATATGTGAACCGGATTTGGTACATTCATAAGTGGTCCTTCGTAGTTGTCCTTTATCTGCTTCACTTGTTTTAATTTTATTATCGAAACCCTTTTCTAATGCAAATCTATTTATAAGCCTTCAGTTCTTTTCAATTAGGAAAGGTAAGACCGTGGATCAATTCCAAGAAATTGGATGAGTCATCTGATTCATCTAATTCATCATCAAACGAATTGTTATTAATCAATGCCATTCATGAGACTATTGAAATACAGTAAATTAAATTAGTTAGTATAAAAGAGGGGAACGAATAGAAATATAACAAAAAAATAATCACGGGAACTTGTGATGAAGCCGAAGCAAAAATATGTGACTTTCATTAACTCAATTTTTTCATATTAATAAAATGATAATGGATATGATGTTTATAATTTTATTCATTTACCTTGATTTTTTTGACTGACTTGATGCTTTTTTTTACAAATTAGTTGTAATAATCAATTCTGCTTTCACTTTTAAAGTAATATGTCTTTGAAAATTTAATTCGCCTCAATAGTTTAATTATCAATATATATATACAAAATTAGATAAAATGAATAAAACATAAAAAATAACAATAGAAGAAAAAATAAAAAAAAAAGAACATAAAAAGAAAAACTAAAATTTAAAAATTTTCAAACTTAATAAATTCGTTTAAAAGAAAAATAATCAACGCCATCATCATCATTATATTGCCACCTTTTATCATTTTCATCAATTTCCATATCATCATCGTCATATCGGAAGGCAACAGGATGATTATTTACACGATAATTCCGTAATTGTTGCTCCTTCATTTTTTGATGATACAGTTGTGAACACATTTGAATTTGTTTATAAAGATGATGGCGTTGTTGTTCTCGTTTTATTTGGTGGCATTGTGGTGGTTGTTGTAGTTGTATTTGTTCTTGATCTTCTTGATCTTGTTGGCCCTCTTGATCTTGCTGGTCGTGTTGGTCTTCTTGATCTTTTTGGTCTTGTTGGTCTTGTTGATCTTGTTTTGATTGTTAATAAACATTATTAGTATTATTGTTATTGCTATTATTATATTATTTTTGTTGTTCTTGGATTTTACTTTTCTTACATCTTTCATTTCTTCTTCTTCTTTGAAACTTTCCTTGTTCTTTTTTTTGTTGGCATGTTTCACCTTTTTGTTTTCTTAAAAAAATAATAGGATTTAGTTAAAGATGAATTAGTTAAAACTAACCGACCCTAATGTTAGTGGCGAGTTTACCTTTGCTTTCGTTCTTTTTTTCTTTGTTTTAGTTGTTTTGTTTCATTATTTTGTTTTTGCAATTGGTTTTGAGATCTTGTAATTGCCATGGTTCTTAAAATATTGTTTTTAAAGGTGAAACAGCGAGTTTTGGAAAAAAGAAGATTTCGAATTGAGAAATGAATAAGTAAAAAAAAATCTAAAAAGTGAGATGATTGGTTTTTATCATGTGGTGCATGTAATGACGAAGTGATCTTTCTAGAATCAATTAATTTCTAGGGTATAATGTATTTCTAGGGTATATTAATGTGACTTTATAATAAATAATTTCGATATCCGTTGTAGGAATAAATAAATAATTTTGAAATAAACAATTACAATGTGAAATAATAATGATTTAAACAAATTTTTAAAATATTGGAAAACCGGCAAGATATTAGACTTTATCAATAATATTTATGAATGAAGAAATGAATAGTTTCACTAAGATTCATTATTATCCCAATTTTAGGACAAAATTTTATTCAAGAAAAATTGACACGAAGCTGTGACACAAAAATCCTAATTAATGATTTAATTAAATTTTCCGTTCACAAAAAACAATCGTCATGTTAATTTAAAATTATAATAATTAATTGGATATCCAAAAATAAAGAACTAAGAAATAGAAGTAAAATTTTAATATCATACCAGACGAATTATATTCGTTCACTTTGGTAGAATGAATGAATGATGAATTAATGAATGGTAACATCTTTTGTGTTAACTTGTTGATTTTCTCGATTCTGGATGTAGATGAATTATAATTTGTAATTTCTAAAATTTTGTTATGTATAATTAATGAACAATAATATATCTAAATGAGTTAAAAAAGGAATGATGCAATAATAATCTTAATATCAATTCAATGATATCTATCTTCATTTAATTTAGTATACTTTTTATAATAAAATTGGTTTGGGTATTTTTTTTTAATTGAACAGCTAAACAATGAAAAGAAATAATAAATTGCTTAAGTGAATTATAATATAAATAGTATGAATAACGTAATCAAAGTTATGCTTTATTAAAAATTTAAATGTATTCTTAGGATTAACTATCATCGAATCTATTTAGTAAATTCTAAAGATTGGAATTTATAAATTAAAATTTCAAATTAAAGTATTCTATTAATTTAATTCAAAGAATGAATGTTAATTTTTTGATCAAATAAAAAGATAAATCACTCTGAGTTTAAATAGAATCATATATCTAATAAACGTGTTATTACAATCAAGACAATTGGAATAATTTACTTACTGAAAGTTTTAGTAATCTGTCAAATAGGTTTATCTTCATCTTCTAATGGTAATTACAATAATAGAAACATTTTTTTATTTGCACTGTCAAATGAATCTTCGAAGATTTGGAGCAACAAAAATAAAAGACCATAATGAAGGTGAATCTTACATTTTTTAGACATGGTGTATCACCATGCTCTTATTGACTCCCCAAGTGCATTCAAATTTTAATTCTCTTCTTTAAATTAAATCATTATCATTATTACCATTAAAATTCATAATAATTAGATAAAATTAACAATTAAACTTACCACTACAATTATATTTCTGGCTCATTTTGATTTATCCATTGTAAATTTATCTGTTTTTATCAAAATAAAATGTGATAAACATTGATAAATATATTCCTATTATAAAAGTTGTACTTATTTCTATTGACTTATTCCATTAGCATTCGTCTACTCATTGTCTGACCCACCAAATCGGCATCCTTCATCGTTATTACTGCTATTACTTACTATTGTCGTCGATATGCGCATCATTTTTTTAAATAAAAAAGATTAAATAATATTACTATGTTTGCTACTATTTACACCCAGATTGCATGATTGAAGTTATTAATTCAAAAGAAATGAGATATAAATGCTAGTAGTAAAGAAATGAATAGTGATATAATAAAATCATTAGAAAATACTAATAGTTAATTATTAAATTATTAAAATAATTAGATTAATTACTATTTAATTACCTATGTCCATATGTCATGTCCAATGAGAATAATTCTTTGAATTCAGAAATTCATTACGAAGTTTATTAAAGATGAAAAATTTCAGAAGAAATGTAAACTTATTATAATTATTAAAAATATTACCGTAAAGTTCCACATACAATTCCCGGTGTACGTTATATCCCACCACTTGAAAACATGAATTATACACGGGTATGATTCATGTTTTTAGAATAAGAATCCATATAATGCCAATCTCCATGGTACACAACTCGGGGTATTGTATGCGGAACTTTAGGGTAGTGATAGAATAAATGTAATAGAATAAGATCAATCAAAATAAAGAATTAGAAATTAGAAAAACCAACATAATTAAAATTTTTGTTATTTAGTATCACTATTAGTTGTTAGTAAAAATAAAATGAAATTACATAAAAAAATCATTATTGAAAATTGAATTAGCTAAAAGTTATAAAATTCAATTTGAAAAAGATCAATTTGCTTCTTTGAAGTCATCATTTTGCAAAAGTCTTTGTATAGTTCCAAGTTGCGCATCAGTACAACAGGAAAGAAAGTTTACTTACCAAAAGTTAAAGTATTCTGTCAAATAGATATATCTTCATTTTCCGATGATAACTCCAATAATGGAAACATTTGGATTTCACCGTTCGAATAAATCTTTGAAGATTTGATGTGACGTAATGGTAGTCAAAACGTGATGATGTCAGTGGTGTGACGGTTGATTGTAGTACAAAAATAACTTTTAGACTTGATGTAGCACCTTGCTCTTATGTCATCTATATTGCCTTCGATTTTATAATTTTCTTAAAATTTAACATTAAAATTCATAAACTTACCATTTCTCATTATATTTCCAGTTTTTTTTTTTTGATTTTTCTGTTGTAAATTATCATTTTTATCAAAACAAAACGTGCTATCACAATTAATCACCATCACATTGATAAATGGAGTCATATTATACTTGTTTTTCAATTAATTCCATATTAGCATTATTCTTTATCCATTAGCTTCATCTCCGCATTGTTCAGCACCCATCAAATCATCATCCTTCATTGTTATTACTAACTATGTCTTGTGAATTATATTATTATCGTCGATATATGCTTCACTTTTTTAAATAAAAAAAGAAATCAAATAATTTTAATAAAAATGGAATGAGAAAGAAGTAGGAAAGAAACGAGTAGTGATACAATAAAAATTATTAAATTAATTTAATTAAATTAAATATCTATGTACCTTTTGTCTATATCCAGCAAGAATAATTACTTTGAATTCAGAAATTCATTCTTAAAGATGAAAAATTTTTAGAAGAAATGTTTGGTAATTAAAAGTGTTTAATAAATAAAAAGAAAACTTTAATTATAGAAAATCATTGGTAAAACGATTTTTAGAATAAGATCAAGCAAAAAATAATTATAATTATTAGTTAGTTGATAAGAATTCCTCGAATAAAGTCTAAAGAATCATATAAATTAGAAAACAATTTATATTTACCTCGATGGCTTTTGCGAGAATAGTAATCACTATTAGTAGTAAAAATGAAAATTGTTAGTAAAAATACAAGAAATTTTATTGGTAGAAAAATTCGGTTATAAAAATTGAATTAGTCTAAAAGTTATAATATCAATTTGCGATGTGATCAATTTGCTTCTTTAACAGTCATTATTTTATAAAAGTCTTTGAATAGTGCCAAGTTGCTGCATTAAACTATGACTAATTCGTTTCTTTGACGATCACAGTTTCATTTTTGAAAAAGCATATATAAAATTGACTTTTATATAAATATTATAAGTTGATTTCTATTATGAAGTATTTGTAAAAAAAAAATAAATTTGTTTTTGAAACATTTTTCTATAAAAAAAAATTAACTATCACCATTTACCAGCAATCCTTAAGAACTTATTAACTGCTTTCCAGAAAAGGTCCAGTATCCGTGCCTCTTCATTAAAATCATTAATCCTCATCTTAAATAT